TAAATAATTCTCAATATCGAAAATTGCCTTAACCGGCGGCATCCTTTTGATATTGTTAGAGTGTAGACGTGGATGTGAACTCAGATGTAAATGTAAGAGAGGGTATGTCCGAGTATAGACGTGACTGTATATAAATGTGCTTATGAATGATTTCTGTTCACCTACACTAACAATTACACATCTCACCAGAGTTCGGTAGTTCCAAAATTTACCTGGAATCGGAACCGTAATTTCGGTTCGGTTTTAAGTAGAAAAAAAACGAGAAACGGGCGGTTTTGGTTCAGTTTACACAATATCACTTGACGTCGAAACTGTTAAAGTATTCTATAAATACAAAATATTTTTGAGAAATTTAAATTCTTTTATTCTTGATATAAGAAAAGCATAATGTTTATTGAAAAAGTATATTGTTCAAAACATAGAAGAGAGTAAAGCAATAAGAAAAGTGTTGACAAAAATTACATTTTCAAAATATACTTCTTTCAATACAGATAATACTTAAAAATAATTTAGCTTTGGTTGTCTTAGCGGTTCTTGAATGACTTTTCCGGTGCTGGTTCCAAGAAGCTAAAAAATGTCAGTTTTGGTTCGGTTTTCAGTTCCGCTTTTCATGAAACCGTCGAGCTGTATACCTTACGCATAGCTCTTTCCATCAATCCCAATCCTTCCTAGCCATAATTACATGCCTTTTCGATATTTTATTTGCAATATTTTTATATTCGACATTTATATCAGAGATGAGATCGGTTTGGTTTGGAAAAAATGCCAATCAATCCCATCTCTGATTGATATCTTTGACATATTTATATTTTGATGCTTTTTTTTCGGCATTTTTTTACGTCTAACGTTATTCAAGCGAACCGGTCCAATATGTTCGGGTCGTACTAACCGTGCTTAGATCTAAGACCAATCCAATAGTTACCAATGAACCGCTGCTCGATAATTAGTAACTTTTTCATTGTTAACCATTTTAACGGTAGTTGAAAAGATTTGAACATGATCCAAGTACCAGTTAAATTATGTTTTTTTTTTCCTTTTACGAAACAATTAATCTTTGTTTCTGTTGCTGTTTGAAATAATATTCTTTTATCATTTATAGAAGAAACATGATTTTATTTGTAGGTCCAATTTATGAATTAACAGATCCAGATAAAATACGTATAAAAGTATTTGCTCGTCTGATTTCAATGCCTGTTCAACTCAAATATTTTCTTGCTGATCAATTTGAATGGCTTTTATATATTACACAGTATGTAAGTATTGATTTTATTTTAAATATTCATATATAAATTATAATTAGAAACCTGAAAAGTGGTCCCGACAAAGATCATGGTCACGCGTGAACGTTACCATGACCAGATTTAGAAAATCTTCGTGACCGTGATCAGGTCTTTCGTGATCATGACTATGGTCAAGACCAAAATCACGCAAAAATCAAAGGTTTTTTTGTGAAATTTGTATAGTTTTTGCCAAAAAATCGCAGCTAATTGATGAACTGTAGCCATTTTTGATAATACTAGTTTAGAAAATAAATCGAAGAAGTCTGCGTGACTGTGATCGTGACCGTGACCAAAAATTGTGGTCATGCAGATCTTTAATTATAATCCTTATTGGATAAAACAAAAATGTAGCAATAAAATAAGCTTTTTCTCAGTTTTATTTTTTTTTAGAGATATGAGACTATTCATGAGATACTGGGAAAAACTTGATAAAATCTAATTCATTTTTAAATAAATTCATTAAACTCTAAATGAATTATTATTTGATCTTGTTGTGCCATACATATATTTGTTTAAAAGAATAAAAATAACAATGTAATTAAATTATAGGAAAATAAATAAAAATTGATTGACAATGCGTTTTAATAAGTTTTGTGTAAACAAATTAAATTAAATTATTTTGTTTAACATTATTATTAGGCTTTGGATGATTTGCGACACAATGCATTAAATACTGTTCAATATGCTGAATTTAGTATTCCAAGTTGTCATCGTAGTCGAAATGAATCAAGTCATATTGGTAAACATCTTGTACCTCTTGTTAGTACTTATATGCCTAATTTACAAACATTACGTCTTTGGAGACCAGATGACTTTCCTTGGACATCGAGTAAGTTTATTTTTAAATAAAATGTGATTAATATAAATTATTATTGATGAATTTTTTTAAACTTTAATTCTAACTATTACTTTATGTCACTCAATTGATCAAACTCTAATCATTTCTATGACAATGCAAAGCTACTTCAACGTCTATGAAAAAGTTATCTTTTTAGCTTTTTACAGAAACAAGAGTTTTTTTTTCTCTGAACATCAATTTTATTTTAACTTTATCTAATCTGAGTCAATACATCTAATTTTAAAAAAATAATTACAACACCACGCAATGGACTGAAATCTAGACTCGTATTCATTTTGCTTTTATCATTTTAATATATAAAATACGCACTCTAAAATAAATTGATCTCCAATAAAGATGAGTTTCTCTTTAAACATGTATGATTATCAAAGAAATGTTCTATTTTACTTATTCTTCTGCATCTAATAGGTTTTTCTCCTAATCGTTTCTATCTTTTAATTCTTTTATTTGGTACACTAATGTCTGTCTTTGTTAGACAGTGAAAGTGTATGAATAAGCGGATACGTACTGTTCAGTCATAACTTCTGGTTACTACGTGTAACAATGGATAAAGATTTGATTCTTGTTGTCTACTGATTGACTTTGTAATGTTAAGACAAAATTTTATTTTCTTCCTTGATTTTTCCAACTGATAATAAAAATAATTGATATTTTAATCAATGAGATAGTATTAAAAAGTATCCAACGACTTTTATTTCATTCAAGATAAATTACGGGAAAATCAAAAATTTTTGCTCAAATTTTCATTTTCCCGTAACTTATTTATTAAATGTCATTGTTTCGTTATTATTGTTTTGAGCAATTTCATAACAAAGATGAAAGTAATCCTTTGTGATAATTCAATTTTTATTTAAAAAAAAATAGTCATAAACTTATTTTGCATAGTTATTCTTCTCATCTTTTATTTCATTAAGTTCGACCTGACATTCAATCTGAAAAATTTTATGGAAAATTAGTTAGACAATGGCTGAAGTTTTTACATACGCCTCAATCTATCAGTATGTTCTTCAGGAATATTGACAGAAGAAATAAAAATTAATTTAATAAATTTCTTATAATTTAGATGAACATGTGAATGTTTTTGATCATGATCTTTGCCAATTAATTGAACAATTAAAAAAACTTGTCTATCTTGATATTCGTGGTTGTATTTCTTATGATAAAATTGAACCTTACCGTTTAAGAGTTCAAACTCGCTTTCCAAATAGTCAAATTCATATTTCTGCATCAAGATTTCGTCTTTGGATATAATTATTATTTGTAATATGATATAACATTACAATTCATTCGAAATAAT